GGGTAGTCAAGAATTGTACATAGTTGCATCAGAGAATAGGTAAGGGTAGGATTCATGTGATCACTTTTCCCGGACGGCCAACAAGATTGTATATGATGCCAGGGTAAGCTCCAGCCTCATCGGGACATCTGCTGACAGTGAGCCAATCGTCACAGTATTCGATTGTGGGAATGACTACCTGAGGGGTAGGTGGCAAAAATTTTGGCAATCAGGTGAGGACATTGATAGAGTGACAGGGCCAAACTGCAGAGGCTCCTCTGTTGCAGACGAAGGAGAAGAACTTAAAATCCTGTGGGTGGACTGTAATGTGAAGTCGGACCCACTGATGAAGCCCCGGGTTGGAAACGGCAGGGGATGAGTTGCTGTTAAAGGAACCCAATGAAACAAGTATCGGGATGGATGAACCTGAGAAGTGTTGTGGTCATTGGCATCAAAACCAAAAGAAATGGAGGCAGTGTTAGAAGTCCACTTTGGACCCGTACCACCCATCATTGACTGTATGTTTAGGAGAGGGTAGAGCAGCATTTGACTGGTGTGTGGGACTGGGAGGGGGAAGGGAAGGAGGATGAGAAATTTTTCGGTATTTGTTCTGTGATCCTATTGTGTCTACAAACTAGTTTTAAAAGGTCTTTCCCATATAGAGGAGGGTCTGGAGGTCAATGTCTTGGCCTCACTCAGGAATGTTCATCATACCCAACCCTAAACCAATTGCTGAGGGCAGATGTACATGTAGATCAGCAAGAATGCCACAGAAATTAGTCGAAGATAGAGATGGCATTCTCATCCAGAGCCCCTTATACGACTGTAGTGAGGTCTGGACAGAGTTCTCTCTTCATATACAAAAGTAGGGTATGTAATCTGATAAGAGACAAACAGGAGACCTTGATAAAGACTAGATGTAGCTAGATAAAATTGGCATAAGTCTGGTCCTATGTTACATGGAGGATTAAGGCAGTTCGCCAGACATCAGAGAAATGAAAATTGAAAATGGAGCATCTGTAGATCGCTGATTACTCCGAGAAGAAGAGAACTCATCATAGTGCCCAACGGGAGCAGAGTATTAACATTTCTTAATCAGGAAAGGCACCTCAGCGGGGACACAATAAGCACTTCGATATTCTGTTTCTTCCTCTGGATGAATTATCAGACGCAGTTATCTTTTTTTTAATTTGTGTTTTGATATTATTCCCCTTTTGTAAAAATCAAATGTGCTATTTGATAATTTTGCTTTATTTCAGTCTTGTGTCACTCAGTCCGTTGTCATACAAGTTTAGTCATATACTTTGAATTACTTATCTCATCGTTTGGTAATTGTGATCTTCTCAATTTATTTTATGTTTATATTTGCCTAATGTCTCATGATTGATCTACAATTTATTTCTTCACATTATCTCTGCCATTTAGCTGTTTTCATTGCCTTATATTGCATGTGATTGTAAGTTTGCTGTTTCTTGGCTTATGTAAGTACTGCGTTGCTCTTCATCTTCTTTATCTCTTAATTTTTCTTCTATTGACTAGTCACATGAGTTCATTTTACATGGCTTCATTTATTTTTCCATCCCTCAGTGCTCACTTTCATCCCATGTACATTGTAGTTTTGTTTGTCCAATTGTTATTTTGTCACTGTTAAATGTTCTGTTTTGGTTTTTGTCATGGCATCTCCAAGGCATCATATAAGCCCTTGGCTTTGAAAGATGCCCCCATAATTGCTGATGACTTTGTTGCTTCTCCCCAATCTATCAACGTGTATAATATGTACATGTATATTTAATTTATTCTATTGTATTGCATTGGAATCTTTTGGCATTATGGAAATAAATGTTGGTTGATTGATTGAGGCAAACAAAGCCTTACCGAGTACGCTACTTTGTTTTGATAATTCCACACTGGGGGTTGTCGGAAGAGATGACCTTGGGCATAATTGCCACAAAGCCTGAGCTTACAGAAGGACTAATTTGTTGGACCATGTAACAGTCACAGTGAAGAGACTTTAGACATGCCCACAAAGGAAAAACGTGCCAGGACAGTGCATGGGCATGGCAAGGCTCTGCAGAAGATCTGGTGGGAATAGATTTGTATACATTTTACTGGAGAAACCCAAAATACTGGATGACAAGGGGCTCAGTCTTTTGTTGAGGAACCGGCCAGAGTGACCGTTGTTGGCCCGATCCCGGCCACCAAGGCATGGGTAGAATCCCCACTGTTACACCTGTGTCAACCACCACTGCGGCCACTTGGCCACAACTTTGACCCATGTGACCACCCCATCGGCCCCTGCGCCTTAAAGTTTGGCTGTGGCCACCACCTTTCCTGCAGCCCCTGCCGGTGTCACTCAACCTCCATCCAGCTTCATCTCCAGTGCCCCAAGCTTTTCGAACCCACCATTTCCAACCTAGCTGCGATTAGGGAAAAACTAGAAGTGAGTTTGTAGAACTTGAATCTCTCCTTGAACACTGGGTATCCTACACCCTTCCCAGCCTGAGTCAAACTCTGTCAATGATGTCATTGATAAACACTTGAGTTTGGTATACATTCGCAGTTACTCTAGTATGTATCATTCACCCACTAACTTCTGTCTACATGGAATAAAAGTTCAGGATAAGATTTTCGTGGACAAAACACTCTGTATGGGTGGTACTTGCGCCTCTGCATATTTCAAACACTTTTCTGCCTTTGTGGAATGGGCTGTGTGGGCTCAGGCAGGCATTATGTAGACAATTTCCTAATGGTGGGGGGGGGGAAGTTCTAGTTAGTGTCCTTCATGTCAGGATTTAGTAGACGCTTTCATCCAGGACAATGGTCCTGGACCAGTACTGGGCACTCACTGACGACCTTCAACTGTTCACATATGCTAGTGGGGGTATCAGCCTCAGTCTGTCCGGGGCAGTAATCATTCCATTTGCTTCATTTGTTTGGTTGGAATTCTTTCCAGTTGTCATGGCTGTCTCACAATGGGGCAAATCGATTGCCAGGAAAAGGATACTGATTCAGTCAGACAACGAGGCTGTGGTTACTATTATTAACAATCGTCAAAATGTCAAAAAAAAATCATACAACTGGTCCATTTCTTTGTCCTGTAGTGCCTTAAACACAATATCAGCTTCAGGGCTAAACATATTGCAGGTGTCCATAAAAATGTTGCAGACACATTCCACCGTTCGCAGATTTCCAGAGTTTGGGAGGTCGCACCCTCCAGCCTGGGAGCCCAGGGGTGTCAGCCCAACTAAGAAGCTAACCAGTTGCTAGGTACATCATGATATGCCAATAATACCATTATTAAAGGTTTTGGACATCCGCCGGGTCAGCCATGGTGGAGGTGACAGAAAAGGGCAGTTTAGTGACCTAAAAATTTGGCTAGCTCAACCCATAAGCTAACTGCCTAAAACCTTCATTGATCCAAGCATGCATAACGCGGGGTCCATATGGTGCCATTGACGGACAGTTTCGATGGTGGTGGGGGCAGACGTCCATAACTGGTACCCTCAAAGTGAGCTAGATCAACAATTCTAACCAGATGAAAGTTATTGCAAAATGTAAAGTATGACACCCCTTCCCCCGAAGTGAACTAGATCAACAATTTAGCTAACCAGATGAAAGTTGTTGTAAAACGTAAAGTATTACCCACTTTATTCATATTCACAACTGACAGACATTTTTAGTGGTGGGTTACCCTCAACATACACCCCAACGCCCGAAGTGAGCTAGATCAACAATTAAGCTAACCCAATGAAAGTTTTTGTAAAACGTAGAGTATGACTCACTTTATTCATATTCACAACTGATAGACATCTTTAGTGGTGGGTTACCCTCAACGTACACCCCAACGCCCGAAGTGAGCTAGATCAACAATTAAGCTAACCGGATGAAAGTTGTTGGAAAATGTGGAATATGACCCGCATATTCATTTTCACAGCTGACAGTTATTTGTGGTGATTGGTTATTCCTAACAAACACTCCTACTCCCCAAAGTGAGCTCTAGAGATCAGCTGATTAGAACTACTCTTGCACATGTTGCAAAATACCAAACATTGTCCAGTATAACCACTTATGTCTGTAATTACAATTGAAAGACATTTTCTGTGGTGGGATAACTCTGACAGACACCCCTTGTACCTTGATCTCAATCACTGCTAGAGCAACAATGTGGCCAGTCAAAGGGGCATAATCATACATGTCGCCTTTACATCTTAAGTTTGGTAGAGTGGAGTGAATTTTTTTCCTGGACTGTTTTCCAAAGTTAAGTGGAATGTTTCAATGGCTGAGAAAATAAGGGAAACCAGTCTATGCAAGCAAGGTTTAAGGAATACTCGGTCGATTTTATCCTTTTGCTAACGGGGGGGGTGTTCAGGATCATTCCAAGAAGGTTGGTGCCGCGATTAGATTTTTTTTTTAGCAGGGAGTAGATTAGATTTGTTATCAACGTCAACAGGGCCACTCCCCACTCTTTTCTTACTGTTTGATTTTATACAGCTTCAGAAATGAGCAGTCTGTTTGCTGATGTATTTCAGTACTTTTTTGTAACCAGCATGGAGAGCTTTTTAGGTTGACGTTGCTTTTAATACTCTTGACACCAGCGTTTGTGCAGATCGCAGCTTCCTAGAAAGTTTGTGTGAAATTTCCTTAATTTTTCAGGGTACAATACTTTCAGGGTATCGCTTCTCAACACATAACTTGCCCCAGGGCCCACTCACGTATCATCCTTATGAAGTAGTGCTCACTTAAATGAGAAACGCACTGCAGTGAAATTAGGGCACAAATGAACATTCATCAGGCCTAAAACTAAGAATGACGAAGTAAAATACTCAGAGAAACAGATTTTTTCAGTGGGTACCTTATTTACTCAGGTGGAAACAAACTGACTGATTAAAGAAAAGAAAAAACAGGTTAAATGTGACAACTGGGCATGTACATGTAGCTGATTTAATATTAATTTTATATAATATAAATTTAATGTAGAAAGTGAAAATAAAATACATTTTTCCTTGTATTTTATTTTCTAGCGCTGTGAAAGATTGCCGTTATGTCCTCCATATTGCAAGTCCATTTCCTGTAAGTAGCCCAAAAGATGAGAGCGAGTTGATCATCCCTGCAGTTGATGGGACAAAAAATGTTCTTGAAGCATGTGCTAAAACACCTACAGTCAAACGTGTGGTACTGACAAGCTCCGTTGTTGCAGTGGCAGGTGAGTTGTACGTGTACCTTGTACAATGTAGATGTGAAATGTGTACTGTGACAAGATTATGTAAGTGCACACATACTGTAAACCTTCTGAATCAGGCTCTCTGTGTTTTTTGTAATTTCTACACTTTAAACATTGTGTGAAAGATGTCCTGGTGTCAAGACTTCAAAATTAAATTGATTGGTAGATTCATTGATCAATAAATCGATCCATTGATCAATCAACTGATTGATCCATTGATTGATTTATGTATTTATTCATATAATTGATTCATCATTGACTAATTCATTCTATTATTGATTCAAAAATAATTCCTACCAACAGGTAGCATATCTTGTCTTTGAAAAAGTCATGAAAACCTGACAACATATTTCCTTTGCGCATATGCTTCAAATTTAACAGTTTTCATGGATTTCTTGATCGGTCTGGTTTTCAGAATTTTTCATGACTTTTCACCCTACATGTGCAAGACTCAACAATTGAAAAGTTTTTTGCTTGAGTGAACGTTCCATTCTATTGAGAATCTGTTCACTTTTTGAACATGATGCATACTATGTCAGAATACAGAGTGCTCTGCCGCAGGGCAACTTTAGGTCCACTTTGTTACCATTATTTATACTATTTATACTACTGTTGTGTACATGCATCACTCCATGAAGTTGGGACAACTACATGTACATAATTTGGCAGCTCATGGAGATTTGAAGTGATTTTTATGTGGTAAAATGGGGATGAGTGTCAGCATTGTGAATTATTTATGAAAGACCTAGTGTTAATGTCTCCTCAAGTAAAAAAAGAAATTAATATTCAGTGCTTCATTCAAAAATTTACCCAAACTGTTGGTGTCCGCCATCAATTTTTTTTAAATTTGTGACTTGAAAAAAAAATTATTGAAACAATTTTTTTCTTGAATAAAATACAATGATAAAACACATTAAACATAAAAATTGTATACTTTTATAATGTTTGTCCTTACTAAAGCCCAGACTATGCCGATGTA